CTGTCTCTCTCTCTGTGTGTTTGTGTGTGTGTGTTGGCACATGTGGGTCCACCAGATTTTTTTTTTTAAATTTTTGTTATAATCTCATTTTTGTTATTGTGGGTTTTTCTTTGGTCTCAAGTATGTGTATGTGTGGTATGTATGCTCATATGCATGGGCTCACTGTGTGTATGAGTATGTAGGTGTATTTAGGACCACAATTGATCTTGGGAGTCTTCCTTGGTCACTCTCCGTATTATTCATTGAAGCAAGATCTTTCAGCTAATCCTGAAGCTCATCAATACCACTAGACTGGCTAGCCGGCTTGCTCTTCAGGTCCCCTGTTCATCTTCAGAACAATAAACTTCCCGCCTGACATTTAAATTGGTAATGGGGATGAGAAATTTGGTCTTCTTTTTTGTGTGGCAAGTGATTTAAGCACAATCTCCCCAGTCCCCACCTTGTTTTCTGACATAGGTTCTCTCATTGGCTTTCAACTCATGTGGTAGGCTAAGTTGGCTGGTGTACTGACTTGTTTTGTGTCAGTACACAAGCTAGAATCATCAGAGAGGAGGGAGCCTCAGCTGAGGAAATGACTCCTTGAGATACAGCTGTAAGGCATTTTCTCACTTAGTGATAGTGGGGGAGGGCCCAGCCCATGTAGGTAGTGCCATCCCTGGGCTAATGGTCTTGGATTCTATAAGATGGTGGGTTGAGCAAGTCATAAGGAGCAAACCTGTAAGCAGCTCCCCTCCATGGCCTCTGCATCAGCTCCTGCCTCCAGGATCCTGCCTTGTTTGGGCTCCTGTCTATCTTCCATCAGTGATGAAAGCAATGCTGAAGTGTAAGCCAAATAAACCCTGTCCTCCCAAACTTGCTTTTTGCTCATGGTGTTTCGTTGCAGCAATAGAAATCCTAACTAAGACAGCTAGCAAGTGAGCTCCAGGATTGAGGTAGCTCCACCTCTCACCTGGCTTTGTTTTCCTAATATGGGTGCTAGAAATGGACTTGTGTATGCAAAAGGTCCTTGTGTATGCAAGGCAAGGACTTTACAGATTGGTTTATCTCCATAGTCCTCTACTTCATAAATGTAAATGTGAAAAAATAAAAAATAAAAACGTTAGTTAGCTGTTGGCTATACGGACCAATAAATCCAAACTACAGGGTGCTAAACATCTTCCTGTCTCACTGTAATCTCGAAACCCAATATAATCTCTCTCAAGACCCTAAGTACATCTTTCCATGACAAAGGATCTCCTAAAAAATGAAGTGTATTTTAAAAATTATACATTTTTCATAATTTTATATGCAAGCATAATGTGTTTAGACCACATCCATTTTCTGTTCTCTAACTCCTCCTGGAACCCATTCCCATCCTATATCCAATTTCCCATGCTTTCTTTATTGTCCTGTTCTTATGCCCCCCCCACCTCTCCTCCTTGTCCCTCCTCCTCTTTATCGTCTTCCTTTATAACCCATGGAGTTCATTTAATGCTGTATATATGCTCATGGATGTAGGGCCATCTACTGGAGCATGGGAGACCTACCATGGACCAAACCATGGAAGAAAATGGATTTTCCCTCCTTATGCAGCTGTAGACTACCATAAGCTTCTCATTCAGAGGCGGAGCCTTCCCTATTCACATTGAAGTGTTGACTGGCCTGATCTTGCATAAGTCTTAAACTTGAAGCCATAGCTATTGTAAGTTCATAACCCTGTCATGTTCAGAGGACAATATTTCACAGCAGTCGTCTCTGATCTCTGGCTTTTGCAATCTTTTTGTTTCTGTTTTTGTTCCTTGAGTCTTGTGGGAGAGGTGGTACAATGCAATGTCCCAGATAGGGTTGACAGCATATTTCTTAAAGCTTTAAGTGAACAGGTATTTTCTGAGTGGCAACTATGTGCTTTGGGAACTCATGGGAGTTCTGATCTCTGTAGCACCCCAGCCCAGTGACTTATTACATTGCCTTTCTCCACTGGGCTGTGCCCTGGCTTGTCCTTTCAAAGGGCTCTTGAAGTTGACCTATTCTGTGAGCCTCACTTTCCTTCTCTCTCCTCTGAGTCATGTACCATTTACTCAAGAGAGGTTTTTGAAGATTCATACTAACCAAGGATTCTAAGAGAGGAGCAATCAAGTCCTCTCCATCTGTGTCCTTTCCTCCTTCACTCACTAGTATCTATTTATGAGGGCACTGGGGCTAGAATGGGGAATCTGGTACAAACAGATCTTCCTGAAGTGGAGAAGAATGTTAAGAAACACACAGGGATGTAAATAACCTACCCAGGAGCAGCTGTGATGTTAGCAGGCAAGTGCAGCAGAGGGTGAGGATCCACGCTAATGATTTATAAGGTAGGTGACTTTATAAAAACTTCCTTGGGAAAGTCAAATTTAACTGAGAGTTGAAAGATGGGAAGAAGCATCATTGGGTGGGAGGCCAACTGGGAAGAACCAGATGCAGAGTGGAAGTGAGAGGTGGCAAGTGTGGACCATCCCAGAGAGCAGCAGTGCTAACACAAACTGGTAGAGAGGTAGGTAAGAGTCATCAGACACGACCTTGTATGCTACTTTAAAGAGTTTGAGATTCATTCTAAGAGAAAAGTCAGGGGCAATTGGGTGCCTTTAATTAGGAGAGAGCCCAGATTACACTTGCCTTTTCAAAAGATCCCCCAACTAATGAGAGGAAATGGGTTAGGTGTTTTCGGTAGTGAGCATGACCAGGGTATGCTCATGATGTATGGATTGGTTAAGAGAAGGACTGTTTTTCTGTCACATCTCCTTTATCTCCACAGACTTCAAATGGTTCTAAAATTTTCATCTTCCAAAAAAAAAAAAAAAGACAAACTTACACTGCATGAAAGAGACTATCCAAATCACCAATAAATATATTCACAAGAAATCAACACAGCTTCATTCTTGTAACCTAGGAACTGCCATCATAAACCACTACATCACTTAACAGAATGTCAAAGCATTAAAGAGTGATAATACTTAGCTTTGCCAATGAAAAGAATAGGGATATTGACACACTGTTGTTGAGGTTGAAATATCATGGAAAGTTGGCAGCATCTTCCAAAAATAAGCATATCTTTGCCCTGTGGCCCAACAACTGCATCAGAGGATATGTAAAGGATATTCACAACAGCAGTCCTTATAACCACCCTAAATGGAAAATGATGTTTTGACATGGATAATTCCATTGTGGCATATTCATATATAAGAATGCCATACAGCCATAAAATGAACCACAGCTATCTCAGCAATAGAATGACTATATATTGAGTGAATGTGTCCTGTGTGTGTGATTACATAGAAGGTTAGAAAAGGAAAGTCTTTCCACATATTGGGAATAAGGATGGTGGTTGCCTTTGGCAAGTGAGAAGTAGAGGTTGGTAAGGGGCTCAGCAGGGATGGTTAGGTGCCTTCTATTTCTTGACTTAGTGTTTGTGTGTGTTTTGTAAATGTGTTCACCCTGGGGTAACTGTGTTGTGTTTTAGAATTTATTCTCTTTTGTATGCTTGTTCTAAAGGAAAAAGAGAAAGCTCAAGACACTGGGGATCTGGCCCTTGGTTTGTGCTTCTGGCAGGGGAGATGGGAGGTTTAAACTTGCCTATATCTTTCTCTCTGATCTTTCTCATGTCATTTCCTGTCCCGCACACTTTCTCCACATTGCTATGCTGGGGGACACTATTTAATAGAGTTCTCCATGCTAAGTGGTGAGGAAGTATATTTGGAGGGAATCTTACTTCTCTTTTGACCTTGGCTTTGGAAGTGCAGTCTTTTCTAGACTGCCTCTTTTCGTGCCCTTTGGTTATACAACCTGCTCACACAGTTCCCCTCCAGGGATCCTGAACACCACCCCCGCACCCCAACTTTTAAATGCTAGGATGCTTCCTCTTTACTTTGCACGTTTTAAATTTTTCTGTAATTCTTGCATGAAATATGTTGTAGTTTTGCAACACTGAATATAACAAAAACAGTGTCTAAATCATAGCCTTTCTATTCTGACTGACCTAACCATGTATCTTTGGGTAAATTAGCTAATCCTTTGTGCTTCTTTAGGGGGGCAGGTAAATGGGGGGAATGTTTAGGTAGGGTCTCATGCTGTTGAGGCTATCCTTAAGCTCAGTGTGTGGCTTAGGTTAGCCTTGAACTCCTGCTCTTCCTGCTTCTAAATCCCAATTGCTGGGATTAGATCTACCACATGAGGCTCACATACACTTTGATCTTAATTTCTTCATTATAATGATGATAACAGCAGTGCTCTCCTCATATTTGATAAGAGACTTAAGTGAGATAACTTAGGGAAGACTTAGAGCTTAGAATAATTGGTCAACAGAGTTCTTGCACACCCACCGAGAGCAGGAAGGACTTGCTCCTGCAGACCTGAAGAAGTAATCAGTGGGGTGTGCCCTCTAGAGAGCTGCCTTGTTGATCACAACTGGCAACCATTCTACCCTGTCCATTAAGTCTTAGCCCCATAGAGAGGTTAGCCTAGTTTGTGACAGACACAAATGAAGCAAGCAAAGGGACACATTTAATTTCTTTCAAACCCAGGTGATTATATTGTTTACAGGAGCTGGGGATCGAGAAGAGTGCTCCATGTCTTAGAGAATCTTGAAAAAATGCTTTAACAAATATATAAGAATCATATATAATTGGCACACACTTTGTTTGAATGCAAACACTGCTGTTAAAGTGGTGCTTAGAAACAGTTTGTTGGCCTTCTCTCCATACAGGAGAAACATTCCTCTCGTTTACACCACTCACTTGCTTAGCAAACCCTTATTTATCCTATGATGCAAGCATAATCTGCCCAACATCAGATCCCGAGTTAGTGGAGTGTGAATTAGTGGGATTCTAGGCGGTCTCTCAACAGCCCACGCCAAAGACAGTGTCAAGACTGCTCTAGAAAATCTAGAAAATCACCTCTGCCCTCTCTTTTCTGTCTCTTACTACTTCTTATGCTTCAGTGGGTTTTCAAAAGAGATGGAAGAAGATGGGCTTAAACACACATTCTTAGACATTTGAATAATTATTTATTGAGAAGCCACAGTTTCTCACACTTTTACAACTGTAGGCTTTTATATAAGGCAAAAAGCAAGATGGATCCACTATTTTCCACAGAAAGAAACAGCTCTACAGCATACCCCAGGGTCGCTCAGTTACAGATCAAAGTGCAATGTACATGACAGATATAAAAAACAGTGTGGAACAAAATAATTGAAATTATGGTTACAGTCTACTGGAGGAATTATCCATATCTTATTATAAATACATTTATAGTCTAGGGTTGTCATTTCAATAGGTTTTGTTTTGTTTTTTTACATATATAGTTATTGAAACAGAGAAGCAAAATGTAACATTTACTAGGATAAACTTTGACAGAAGACAGTTGGTCTGAACTTTGCTTGGTGCTAAGTCCTGATTAGATGGCCCCCTTGCTATGACAATTAAAATAATTAATCCATTGATATGTAACTTTTTAGTGGGGGAAACTACATGGATAAATGCAAAGCTGGGTTAACCAGGACACAAGGGGTCCATTGCTTTCAGTTTTAGGGGATGAGAAAAGCTAAAGTTGGCTATTGGAACCATGCCTCTTTTTTTCTTCCTATAAAACAAGAACAAACCTGAAACCAAAACCAAGCAGATCTATGTGCTTAAATTAATTTATTCATGTACTCATTTAAATGCCTGGTACCCAGGTACATGAAACAGAGACATGGTAACACTCAATAAGATTGCTCCCATGTCCACTTTCCATCAGTACATATGTAGTACAGGTTGAAACATTTTGTTCTGCTAACAACAGGGACACACCTAGCAGCTGAACTACGTATTCTCTCCATGAACAGTGTTTAAGAATGGTGTTCCATATTGCTTGTAAACATATAGACACAGAAATCAGAAAACCATGGATCTTAAGCTCATCTGCTAATCTTGGTACCATGTAGCTAAAATGGTAAGTGTATTGGTAAACATCTCATGGGCATGGTAGTTGACAGAAAATTCCCTAATGGAGTTAACTAACAGACTAAGGACATGCATTGATTACAGGACTCCATCCCAGTGGACTCTTAGACCCAGAGAATGGTCTAATCATCTTCTTCATCTTCTTCATCGCTGTCCTTCATGCTGATGCCCTGTAAGCCCCCACCCTCACTCACTGACGCTGTAGCTTCCTCCACAGTGAGGCGGTTTCTGATGGTCTCGTAGGTCTTGCTGTTTAAAGTGGAATCCAGGACCCCTTGCAATCGGAAATCTCTATAGGTTTTCTACAGGGAGAAAGATAAAGTGGTAAGGAAGGCCTCATCCGCAAGGGGAGGAGAGAGGGATACAAAGCAGGCACAAGTGTAAGAGTCATGACTTTCAGCTAAGTGTCACTTTTTATGAATTGAAAAGCAAAAAGTCACTCCGTTCAGATTTTACTCAACTGAATGACAGAAAACGAGAAATTGTGACAGGATAAACTGTATTAGACAAAGCAAAGAACATAAGCTTGTGTTTATTCAGATCCACAAAAGGAAATGTTTCATAGCTGCTTCCCCCTTCTCCGGTCTGGTTCTTTCCCTTAGGTTATTATAACAATATGATCGACAGTATAAGGGGCTTGAGCATATACAAATGAATGTGTCAATTGATAATGGTATTTTGTGATTTCTGTTGCAGTCTGGTTGTTGGAATTCTTGCCTGTTATAATTGCATGAACCATGTCCCTCTGTGTCATCCACAAGATAGACATATGCATGTTGGTATATGAAAACTATTACGGGCAGCCACAATGATGGGCAAGATGGAGCGCTAATGCCTCATCAATATGTTGCAGGCATGTGACTCATGTCTCGTCTCCTTGGGAAAGATCTGTATCCATTTTGTTCACAACTTTATGTTCTCAGGGAGGGAATTTGGCTCTTTTTCAAGAACAATGGTTGGTGTTGCTGGGGTTGCTGTATCACAAGCTCCTTTGTTCCTTCATGTGGTTTCTCTCAGATTTCCTTAGGTATCCCAGGACTGTTTCCCAGAACTCCTTTAGTTCTGGGACCAGAAGCATCTGGCTGTTGTTTAGTTCATATATTTTTTAAATGGTGTCTTTCTAACTATGAGTTTTCTCATCACACTGCATATCATTTCAGCTACTAGTTCTCGTCTTTGTTGTACCTGTTGATACAGGATACTTGATAAACAGTCAAGAAAGGGAATGTTAATATATTTCAACATGACTCCCACATTACTTGTATTTTTAAAGTTCATCTGATGCAGTTATGGTGTCAATAAACCCAAGATCAGCACACTTTTCACGTCACAGGATGTAGTGACTGTAGAGTTTATCAGTGAATGCTGATGGGTCTTCGAGGACCAGTCATGTGACATTATGGGTGGATAACCACATGTCCCTTTGTGGATGATTATTCACCACACCTTATTTCTGTTTATAAGATAACCTGGTTTGGATATTGTTCCAAAGCCATCTTATCATGGTTCTAGTGAAAATCCCTTGAGAAGTAGGAAATAGACAGGTAGCCAACTGAACTGTGTTTTCATGTGATGGGATGGGTAGGAGATTGATTAAATGTTAGGCCCAGAGTAGATCAAATAGCCAAATGACTTACTAGGCTTTTTGAACTTTTCAGTTAGCTATTCTGTGGCCACTTAGAATAGCATAATTGTTGCCAGACTAGAGTAAGAAAACTGGAGGTTAAGAGGTTTAAGTATTCACTTCTTCATTCAAATTCTAGAGCAGTGTGCATCCTCCTTATGTTTAGGGTAACATAAGGGTATAGGTTTAGGTAACAGCCTAAGGGTATAGATATGATGGTTGTGTAGATTCGAATCCTTCACTTGCTAATATTAAGGAGATAACCTTTAACTAGCCTTGGATGAACACACATTTTTTGGATGAGGACTGAAAGGAGTGTCTTTGAGGCAGGAAAGAGAGTGGGGACCCTTGGAAATTTGCAACCGAGGAGCACTCTGGGGGGTTCTGCTTCAGTCCCCTTGTATTGCAGTAGTTGAGTACAATTTTGTAGAAAGGAAAAGGTCCCTACCCAGTGACATTTCTGTGTTGCTCCTCTGTGATTCACAACTATGTATAGGCTTGTTTTTGGCAGATCACAAAAATTAAGCCTTCTCTCTGACATATTATTATCTTAATAAAAAACTGCTAATTTTGACAAGAATTTGGAAGCATCGGTTATGAAAAGATAATTTGAAAATACTCAATTGTGATATTTTCTTTTCCTGTCTACCTGGTCAGACAAGGGTCAAATAGAAATTATCCCATATACTCTATAACACACACACACACACACACACACACACACACACACACACACCACGGGTAAGAAAGAAATAGTTACACCAAGAAAAGGAACCCAGAGGGTCTGGCAATGCTTAGTGAGCCTGCCTTAAGGGACTGACTGAAGAAAAAAGAAAAAGAAAAAGAAAAGAAAACTAAGCTGCGTGCACCATTGAAGTGCATATACTTTTACAATAGCCGTAGTTACATACTGGCTGCAGCCTTCTCCAGGGTGGAGGCTTTGTGAGATCAAATGCAGATGATAATAACTCCTTAATTACACACAATGGAACTGTAATTGGGCTTTAGTCAGCACTGGGGTAGAGGAGCACCTTCAGGGGGATGGGACTAATCCAAAAGAGACCAAGAAGCAGGGGAGGGGAGATTTTTTGGCAAACTGTTAAGAAAATTCAGCTACACTTATTACTAAAATATTTTAATGGAGATTTTTGTTCATTGAATAGGAGTTTTGCATACAAATGTTTTAAAAACCCTCTGTGGTGAAGCATCAAATGGAAACTGAAATGATCAAAAAACGTATTTACCCCCTTCTGTGATCTTATTATTTCATGTAAACCACTTGGATTTCACGCTGAAATAATTATCATTAGTACATGGCACACACATAAGAACAGGGGAAAAGAGCTACGTTCAGGGTATGTTATCTCACCTTTGTGATCCTTTACATTGGATTGTGTACACGAGTTGTAAGAGAAACCACTTCAATTAACCATGAGAACAATATTGATTTGCATTCTGATAATGATCACAGAACATATTTAGAAATAGCTGGGGGTAAATATTTCCATTAAATTAATTGTGGCAAAATTTTATTTAATTAAACCATAAATGAAATTGGTAATTTATGCCATTAACATAATGCTACCCAAAGCAAGCTTTTAAAGGTGCAATGCCACTGCCAGGGCACAAAAGTCTGTGACATTTTGTGCATGGCAAATATATACAGTAGTTTTTCCTATAAAGACAAGGATATCAGTGCCTACCCCCATTTTTTAAAACTAAGCTTGCCTTTGATGTCTCAGTAAGAAATTAAGCAGGCACCACAAAGGGATTTCATGGGACTTTCTTGCATGCAACACTGTCTTAGAAATCATCTCATTGTGCATGTAAGCAGGTACTATCTGTTTTGGGAGTTCTGCAGCTTGCCAATGAAGTACAGTTCAGTAAGCTACTTGCAAAGAAGAATGCCTTGTTCTTTTACCTTTACCATCCTAATTAGTGTTTTCAGTTGATAAATGTGAAGTTGTAGGTCCATCCGGTCAGTCAACCAGGTGCAGATGATGTTCATGGAGCTGTTGTACCATTGCTGAAAAAGAGACAAAAGTTCTCCAGGCAACACATCATGGACTGACTACAGGGCAGGGAGAGAACAGGTCACATTTGAGCCCCTGCTCTGTTCTGCAGGAAACAAGATAGTTAAACAGAACTGGAGAGCACAGAGACCTTGATCATCAAGCCACACAAATGAGGTGCTGATTCAGTCTAGACCAGGGCAGTGTGGGCTGGGGATTGAACCTGGGACCCTTCTACTACACACAACACAAGACTGCCTCCTGTGCTCTTGATTTTCATCTGAATCGGTCCATTTCACTCAGCTGTGATCCACAGCTTTGCTCTTTTCCTAATGCCATTGTCTCCAGGGCCAGAAGAGGGACAGGGGTGCCTTGACTGGAACTTACCTTTGGAAATGGACCCAATGTGTGCAATTCTGGGGATCAGGTGAAATGCCTGAGGAATTGAGGGCTGGGTATTTACGGCCATTTGCCTGACTGGGGCATTCCTAATATGGACAGCAAATGAGGATTTCTCTTTAAGGGCCAAACTGTTCTGGGCAGCGTTTAAGTGCCCTGCATTAACTGTGCAATCTGTTTTAATCTTAGCACAAAAATTATGGAATACGAGAGGGAAAAAACTATCTACAAATGAGCTCATTTCAAGCTGTTGAAATCATACTTCCCCTTATGGGGGTTAAATTTTGCTTCTTGTCTGTGAAAAATGCTTGAAGCTGTGTCACTTTAGACTGCCACCCCTGTGGTGCAGGAAGTCTCTGGTGCAGTATAATTTTGCAGTACTGCTCATATATTCATAAATCTCACTCAGAGACATATGAACAGTGTTATGAAGTGTCAGTATGAAAAAAAATCTAATCTTTTAAACTTCACCAGGTTTCATTGCGCTCTACCGCTTATACCAAACAATTTACAAATAAAATGAAAAGGTGTGGATGGACCTATATATTTATTTATGTGACATCTATATGAACTGTGCACAAAATAAAAGAGGAGTTAGAGAATTGAGACGATGCACACACTCACACTAGCCAGCGCAGACAGACACACACACACATCACACACCAGTGGGGATTCGAAAAGCATAAATAAAAACATGTTTCTGATGGTAACTCCACCCTTTCTCACCTAAAGATCATCCAAAATCAGTTTATGCCTAACACTCACAGTTTTTCTGAAGCCTTGTTTCTGACTTAATTTCTTTAAAAAAAATTAATTTGGGGTTTTACTTGCAAGGTAGAACTGCCAAGTCTCACCTTGCAAGAAACTACAGCGTCGCAGCCATGGCGTACAGAAGCCCTCTTTGCATCTTTCTTATCTAGGCTCGTCCTCATCGGAGCCAAGTGTGGCTCTCCTTGGAGCCCAGCCGCAACAGGGACCATGCTACCCCAATGAAGGGAGGCAGCGCAGCAGCCTCACAGCCAGCTCCTGCTCTTTTGAAGATCACGGAGGAGAAACTGTCAGTTGTGGGAACCGTCTGTCCCTCCCCAGGGAGCAGGCGGCTGGGGGTGGGGGTTTCCTGCTGAGATGGGCAGTTCACTCTCTAGAGGACGTGTGATTGTTAGGGGTCAAGCTGCTTCAGGCATGGACAGGTTTTCCCCTCTAGGGGTGAGAACATTTTTCTGAAACTTTTTTTAGGGAGGGGTAGTGGTGGTTATATATGGAGGGTGTTTTTGGCACCTCCTGCCTCGGGATTCTGTGGCATTTGTTGTACTACATCTGGGTTTGTTAGAAGGCTCTGGGGACAGGATTAGTATTGGATCACAGGTGAGCATGTAGCTTTATACTACCTCAGCTACTAGGGACTCTCCCGGGTTCACCTAGGCCTCAAACTTAAAATTATTAGCTATATCTGGCACGCAATCCACTACATCCAGGAATAATTTCTCCTTATGTTTGTCCTTCCAGGGGGTTGGAAGGTGATCTACAAGAAGCTCATGGGACTACATGGCCAAACATACATGCTCATAGCCTTGTGATGGATGGATACATGTCTAGGACACAAAAGAGGAGTGTGGCACTCTGGCTTCTAGGCAGAGGTGGCATTTTGCTTTGGCTGTGACAACAGGCAAACCAGTGCTGGCTTCTATCACTGCCAGCAAGCCTGGTGCAACATGCCTTTTTCTCTTTACTGAGAGACGCGCCACCTTTCAGGAAAAAATATAGCACCCCCTTCCATTTTACATAGGCAGTTCTCACTCTTGTAAATGGCTTTTAAATAGTAAAATAAATAAATAAAAATTAAAAATACAAATGAAAAGGTAGGCTGCTGTCAACAGTCTTGCACTGTTGAGGAAGGCTAGGGAGGGAGGGACGAAGAGAGGGAGGAAGTACATACAGAAGAGATCAATGTAATGGAGCACATTCCCACACCAGGAGCAAGAACGCCCTGGAACATCCGAGCTTCTCCTGAATCTCACATCTAGCAGGAGAAGTGTAAAAAATGTATGATGCCCCATTGGCTACACATTCAAAGAGGCAAAAGGGAGAAAGTGAGTCCTTTCCAAACCTTATGCTCAGTAGAGAGAATCAGAGGCGCTTTTAGACGAGGCACAGCCAGTGCTAACTTGGTTTTCCAGCAAGGGCGTAAAAAGGCATTTAGATGTCAGATAAAGAAGAAGTAGGCATTGCCTTTAGAACTTTACAATGTTAGAGGTGACAGGGATCCTCACAGTATCCACTGAGAAGGAGAAACAAAGGCCCAGAGAGGGTTAGTGACTTATTCAAGATCACACAGGAAGGGTGTGCCTCCAACATGGGCACTATGAGAGATGGTCATTCTCAGTCTCCCCTGCTCTGAGAATACGAGTGTGCTGGTCAGCAGAGTCAATCTGCTGCATCTCTCTGAAACTCTCTAACTGGGGATAGCACACGGATTACTAAAAGCAGGTCCCAGAGGAAGGTTCCTTGCCACAGAACCCAGCCAGAACCACAAACCAAAACTCCATTTCCAGGCGCCTAATGAGAATGCACGGCACTCTTCTGGGAGTCAGGTTTGCTGCAGGTGATGTCAAAATGCGAATGCAGCAGATTTGTTATGATTCTTCGAAAGAGGAAATTCATAAGACAGCTGCAGTTCTCCCTATTTCCATTTTCCTTTCACTCAGACAGGTCTCTTTCAGAGCTATTTTAGTACCTGAGCATGAAATGTTTGGTAACCTGTGGTTTAGATATGAGGAAGGAGAATTAGGAATCGACAACACCCATTGGATATTTTGAATAGTCACAACTTGCTGTTCATTAGTAAAGGTTTACTGATTTGAAACTTCCAAACATGGCTACTTTAATCCTAAAAACACACCAGAGAAGTAGAATTGCCAGTTGACTGGGCTCTTAAACATATACCGCAGGTAGTCATCCTGGGAGTGTTGGAACATAAAAGATGCTCATCTCAGCTGGCTGGAGTGCTTCAGAGCCCCTGGAGGGTTGAATAATTTCAGCTGAATCTAAGGATCTATTTAGAAAGTAGCTAGAAGGCCAATAGAACATTGCCTCCTCTTCCTTCTCTCCTCTTTTCCTTCTACCATCAAGCTACATCCTCAACCTTTCTTTTTTTGGACTATTTTTATTTTGAGATAGGGTCTCACTAAATTGACCAGACTGATCTTGAACTCACTCCATAGCTCAGGCAGGACCTAAACTTGCAATTTTTGCATCTGGTCTCCAAGTAACCAGGACAACAACCTGTACCACCTAGGTTGGCCCTTTTTCTCCCCAATCATCTTTTGTGTCATTACCACTCAAAGTGGTCCTGTTTAACCTTAAACTCTTATGCTCAAGGAATTTTCCCACATCAGCCTCCCAAATACTGGGAAGCAGGCATATGCAGTGGTACCCGGCTTCCTTGCTTTCTAGTATGCAGTATTTAGGAGTGCTGGTCCTAATATACGCCAGAGTTTGCATCTTGAATAAATGACTTTCATCCTCACAGACTCAGTTTACTGATAAAAATGGGCATTTTTTACAGGATTCTTTCAATGAGTAAATAAAAGGCTTGTGAGCACTCATGCCTGGACTCAGTATATAGCAAAGCTGACATCACTGCTACCACTGGCTTTGCCCCAGCCACCACCACTAGCAACCATTATTATATCTCATATCTAACTGCTTTATCTCTTCCCGTCCATTTAAAAGATAACAAATACAGGGTGGGGGTTAGTTATCTGGGAAAGCCATGTGGTGGAAGAAATAGTTCCCACAGGGAGATCCTGGAATTGTGTGCATAAGTCTTGAGGTGACATATGGATAGTTCTTAGCAATGGGATTCCATTTAAACTTGTGAACTTGGGTTCACAAAGAACATTTTAAACTGATATTGATTAATATTGAAGTGTTGACTGAAAATGACCCTGTAGACAAGTTCAGTATCAGCCTGTTTGGCCACTTGTTAGCTAGATAGGCTCAAATTCACTGTTTACCTTGGTGTCCTTCAGTTTTTTCTTGGAGTTGATGCCAGAACCGACTTCTTAGGATTTCTAGGAGGTGATGTGCCTACCAGAGCTAGGACCATACAATAATCACTCAATAAAACAGTTTTCACTCACAAGATACTTTCAACATGTAGCACAAAGTATTGTCTTGGTCCATTTCTAGAAGAAGCTTGGTCACTGATACTCAGATTTCTCAGGCTGAATAATGTGCCCTCAAGCATACTGACTTCTATAGGGCAATACCAACATTTGGTCTCTACTGTTCTAATAAGGTTTGCTATGGCCAGGATCAGGGTGAGGCAGTGAAGAAAATTATTAGAGACCAGGATCACACACTGACATCATTGAAAATTCTGATATTCATCAAGGGTTTTTTGTACCTTTACTTTGATCTTTGTGAATGTCTTAAATACTAAAATGTAATTTTAAAATTGTAAATTTAAAAATATTAAGGCCAACAACAGTTGGTTACCCCTCACTAAACTCTGCATTGAAGGAGTGACTCCTAAATCTCTCTTTAGGTCTTCTCTTTGGTTTCACTTTTGACTAGATGGAAGCTTCATGCCCTGGAAACCTGAAGTAGTGAC